AATATTATGTATTATATATAGAAATCCAAACTTTCTCCCGCGAGGAAAGAAATATCGTGAGAGGTTACCTCCAGAAAAAAATAAACATTTGAAAAATCCTCACCATCACCCCCATAACTTTGTTCACGGTTCATCGCTGCCTTTCAAGAAAGCCGACTGCCTTTTGTTTACGTTGTCATGCAACTATATCATGATATATGTCAGGTTAACTAGCTCTTTTTCACAGAAATTTACCTTAGTTTCAAGGAATTTGGGAACTTTTGTTGCATTCTCCCCAGCTACGAAGCTTCAATCGATGTTAGCGAGCTTTTGCCATAAATCCTGAAGATGCCATCGTATTGACAAGACACTGACAGAGGGGTCATAAACTGGGCCTTTGGCCATAGATAAGAAAAGTATGTTCGAGTAATTTCCAAATGTAGTTTGGGGACTCCCCCGAACTTGGGTCTCTATTTATATACTTTATATAAAGCTGAGCGGAATTGGTTCGCTGCGTCGGTCTCGTTCGTTGCATTCTACCAACAAAGGAAATTTGGAAGATATGTGACAAGGACACGAGAACGTAAGTAGAAGTATTAAGATGTCAAACAACATCGTTGACGTATCGACTCACTGCTCTGTCAATACTGAATAGCTTTATGAACGGCTTTGGTAAGTTGTATGCAAAGCCTGTCGATGTTAGCTTTAATACTCCTCCATCTTCCCTCCACCAATGGTTTATCTAATGCACCAAAAGTTATGGAAGAAATCTTGCTACTCAACGAACGTAACATTGTTACTGCGACCAAAGGCAGAAAAGAAAGGAAGTAATTTCCTTGCCATGCCAAATCTGATGATAGATCTATAATTTTCAATTTTGAAGAGTAATTAGAGAAACAAAAGTAGGGAAAATCTGCGCGCTCTCTACTTAAATGTTAGCGGAATCGAATTCGCGTACATTGACTAGCTCGACTAACTGATTGATAACATGAACACCTTTGTCGTTTAAATTTTATCGTTCATTTCGTTAAACGAGGCAGTTCTAGAACATTCTTTGGAATCTGATCATCACGTAACAGTGTTTACGATTTTCGTCATACCCGGAAAAAGCTTCGTGACCTTTCGATTTC